GAAATCATAACAAACAGTCTCTCAGACCACAGTGCAATCAAGTTAGAACTCAGAATTGAGAAACTCAGTCAGAACCACACAGCTTCATGGAAACTGAACAACTGGCTCTTGAATGTTGACTGGATAAACAATGAAATGAAGGCAGAAATAAAGGTGTTCTTCGAAACCAACAAGAACGAAGACACAACATACCAGAATCTCTGGGACACATTTAAAGCAGTCTCTAAAGGAAAATATATAGCCGTAAATGCCCACATGAGAAGCAAGGAGAGATCTAAAATCGACACACTATCGTCAAAATTGAAAGAGCTAGAGGAACAAGATGAAAAGAACTCAAAACCTAGCAGAAGACAAGACATAACTAAGATCAGAGCAGAACTGAAGGAGATAGAGAAACAAAAAACCCTTCAAAAAATCAATAAATCCAGGAGCTGGTTTTTCGAAAAGATCAACAAAATAGACCACTAGCCAGATTAATAAAAAAGAAAAGAGAGAATAATCAAATTGATGCAATAAAAAACGATAAATGGGATATCACCACAGATTCCACAGAAATTCAAACCGTCATCAGAGATTATTACAAACAACTCTATGCACATAAACTAGGAAACCTGGAAGAAATGTATAAATTCCTGGACACCTGCATCCTCCCAAGCCTAAATCAAAAAGAGGTCGAAACCCTGAATAGACCAATAACAAGGGCTGAAGTTGAGGCAGCAATTAAGAGCCTACCACCCAAAAAAAGCCCAGGTCCAGATGGGTTCACAGCCAAATTCTACCAGACATACAAAGAGGAGCTGGTACCATTCCTTCTGAAACTATTCCAGACAATCCCAAAGGAGGGAATCCTTCCCGAATCATTTTATGAGACCAACATCATCCTGATACCAAAACCCAGCAAAGACTCAGCAAGAAAAGAAAACTTCAGGCCAACATCCATGATGAACAGAGATGCAAAAATCTTCAATAAAATACTGGCAAACCGATTGCAACGGCACATCAAAAAGCTCATCCACCATGATCAAGTAAGCTTCATCCTGGGGATGCAAGGCTGGTTCAACATACGCAATTCTGTAAACGTAATTCACCACATAAACAGAACCAAAGACAAAAACCACATGATTATTTCAATAGATGCAGAGAAGGCCTTTGACAAAATTCAACAGCCCTCTAGGCTGAAAACCCTCAGTAAACTAGATATTGACAGGTTATAGTTTTAATCAAATTTGGAAAATTTTGGCCATTATTTCTTCAAATATTTTTCTGTCCTCCTCCATCTGTCTGGGACTCTTTAATCAACCTGATGTCTCACAGCTCACTGACGATACATTTTTTTTTTTTTTTTTTTTTTTTTGAGATGGAGTCTCGCTCTGTCACCCAGGCTGTGCAGTGGCACGATCTCTCAGCTCACTGCAACCTCCACCTCCCTGCTTCAAGCAATTCTCATGCCTCAGCCTCCCAAGTAGTTGGAATTACAGGCACACAGCACCATTCCCAGCTGATTTTCTTGTATTTTTAGTAGAGACATTTTTTAGCAGAGACATTTATTTTTAGTAGAGACAGGGTTTTACCGTGTTAGCCAGACTGGTCTCAAACTCCTTACCTCAGGCAATCTGCCTGCCTTGACTTCCTAAAATGCTGGGATTACAGGCGTGAGCCACTGCACCTGGCCTACGTTCTTCCCTCCCCTCTCCCAGTCTTTTTTCCTTCTCTGCTTCCTTTTGGCTAGTTTCCATTACTGTTTTCAGAATCACTGATCTTTTTTTCTGTTACATTGATCCTTTCCAGTATATTTTTTATACATTGTATTTTTTGTGTATAGAAGTAGGTCTTCTTATCCCTTCAATTGCTTCATTATTTTATGTTTTATTCTACCTTCTTGAACATATAGAACATAGTTGGCTGGGTGCGGTGACTCACGCCTGCAATCCCAGCACTTTGGGAGACTGAGGCAAGTGGATTACTTGAGGTCAGGAGTTTGAGACCAGCCTGGCCAACGTGGCAAAACCCTGTCTCTACTAAAAAGTACAAAAATTAGCTGGGTGGGGTGGTACAGTGCGTGCCTGTAATTCCAGCTACTCAGGAGGCTGAGGTACAAGAATCATTTGAACCTGGAAGGTAGAGATTACAGTAAGCTGAGATTGTGCCATTGCACCCCAGCCTGGGAGATGGAGGGCGACTCTGTCTCAAAAAATAATAATAATAAAAAGGACATATTTATAGTAACTATTTTAATGTTCTTATCTACTCATTCCAACATTTCTGCATCTGTTTGTATTAATTGCTTTTTCCCTCTCTGGTTATGGGTCATATTTTTTGCTTCGTTTCATGCCTGTATATTGTGAATTTTACATTGTCATTTGCCAGACTTTTGTTATATTCCTTTAAACAGTGTTGGGCTTTTTCCCAGGATGCAGTAAAGTTGCTTAGAATTTGTTGGATCTTTTCAAGTCTTTTTTTTTTTTTTTTTTTTTTTTTGAGACGGAGTTTCGCTCTTGTTACCCCTGCTGGAGTGCAATGGCACGATCTCGGCTCACCGCAACCTCCGCCTCCTGGGTTCAAGCAATTTTCCTGCCTCAGCCTCCTGAGTAGCTGGGATTACAGGCACGCACCACCATGCCCAGCTAATGTTTTGTATTTTTAGTAGAGACGGGGTTTCACCATGTTGACCAGGATGGTCTCGATCTCTCGACCTCGTGATCCACCCTGCCTCAGCCTCCCAAAGTGCTGGGATTACAGGCTTGAGCCACCGCGCCCGGCTTCAAGTCTTATTTTTAAGCTTTGTTAAGATAAATCCAAAGCAGCCTTTAGTCCAGGGCTAATTTTACTTTACTCTGAGGTGATGCTTTGATGCTACACACATTCAAGTCTTTTCACTTTGGCTGTTAGAAACACAAACTCTTTCCAGCCCTGTTTGAGCTCTAGCAATTGTTTGGTCCACTGCTTTTTGGGCCAAGGCCCTTCTTATGCATTCATAGATCAGTACTCAGCCAAAGACTCAAGGAATCTCCCTGCAGATCTCTTGCTGCTCTCGTTGTGCCACTCCCTCCTACTCAGTACCCTGCTTTGCAAATTCTAGCTGTCTTTGCCTCCTTGAACTTCAGATCTCTGTCTCTTTAACTTACCCGCCAGTACTGTTTAGCTTTCTCTGAAATGAGGCCTGAAAACTGCCTCTAGGCATTAAGCTGGGGAAATTAAAGGGTATACCTTTTTTTTTTTTTCCTTTGGAGTCAAGGTCTCACTTTGTCACCCAAGCCAGAGTGCATTGCCGTTGCAACCTAAACCTCCCAGGTTCATGCACTTCTCAGCAATCCACAACACTCCCCGCCCTCCAGCAAAGCTAGGACTACTACAGAATTTTTTGTAGAGACAGGGTCTCCCTGTGTTGCTCAGGCTGGTCTTGAACTCCTGGGCCCAAGGAATCCTCCCACCACAGTCCCCCAAAGTGCTGGGGTTACAGGCATGAGGCACCACACCTGGCCTGGCTTACCTCATTTGTTTCTCTTCTCTCACAACTTTTTTCTCCTGAACATCTGTTGTCTAATGTCTGAAAATGGTCATTTCATATATATTTTGTCCAGTTTTCTAGTTGTTTAAGAAGGCAGAGTGTCTTAGTTCATTTTTTTTTAATCCCCTATTCTGAGAAGCAGTTCATTTTCGCTGCTATAACAGAATGCCTGAAACTGGATAATTTATAGTGAACAGAAATTGACTGGCTCACAGTTCTGGAGGCTGGGAAGTCCAACATTGAGGAGCCGGCACCTGGTGAGGGCCTTCTTGCTATGTCCACACATGGCAGAAAGCAACGGTGGGGAGAAAAAGAGGGAGAGAAAGGGAAAGCACATGGAAGGCTGAACTTTCCCTCTTATAATAGCACCAGTCCATGGCCCAGTCACCTCTTAAAGATCCCACCTCTTAATACTGTTAAACAGAGACAATTAAATTTCAAGAGAGGTTTTGGAGGGGACAAGCATTCAAACCAGTAGCACAGGGTAAATCCCATCTCCATTACTTTATCTTGGATGGAAGCAGTTCTTCTTTTGAGCCATATTTAAAGTAGGAAGAAATATAATATAAATTTGTTCTTTATGAAATTCAGGTTTTGCAGGAGGCTGAGGCAGGAGAATCGCTTGAACCCGGGAGGTAGTGGTTGTGGTGAGCTGAGATCACGCCACTAAACTCCAGCCTGGGCAAGAGCGAAACTCCTTCTGAAAATAAAATAAAATAAAATTCAGATTTTGAAATGCTGTAAATGTAGTGTTTAAACCACCTACTATGGTTGTGTAAATTATGTGATGCCTGCAATGGTTTCTCTGTAGACCCTGTGGTCAAATAAGAGTAAGGACATATGATATTTCTGTACAACTCTTTTAGAGTAAAACATACTTCACAATTGTATCATATTTTATTTTGCCCTCAGTAAAACTGGAGCAGGTGTATCCATTTTTACAGTTGTGGAAACTGAGGTTTAGAACAGTTAGTTCTTGCTAGCCTCTCCCAACAGCTTCAGAAGAATCTATAAGATTTTCTTTTCCCTTTTCTTGGTATCATTGACTTATGGTTACTCCTATTTCTGGCTTTTTAGTAAAATAAGCATTCTTGAATTTCACTTTTCTACCCCTGGGCTATACCGATCCATAAAATACAAAATTCAAATACTGCAAAGTTTACTACTGTCTATCTTAGTAATCTTTAGAAAGTCATTTATTGCTATGTACTTCACTCACTTTAAAATGAATATTCTGGTTTAATGATAGCCCTGGAATTATTAATATTTTGAGATTACACATGTAGAATTGCATCTACTGGTGAATTCTGATTGATTAAATTTATGAATAGCAGCACAGTTGAATTCATTTTTATGTGTTATTAGAATCTTAATGGTGCCTGCTCACAAAAGCCAACAATCCAGTGGTTCTTTATCAAGCCTGATGTAAGACAGTTGATTTGAAGAAAAATACAAAAAATCCTTTAATACATCACCCATTTTTTTCCCACAGAAACTATGAAAATTATTTCATCAAAGCACAGAAAGTGAGACGCCTCATTGCTAATGACTTTGTGAATGCTTTTAACTCTGGAGTAGATGTCTTGCTAACTCCCACCACCTTGAGTGAGGCAGTACCATACTTGGAGTTCATCAAAGAGGACAACAGAACACGAAGTGCCCAGGATGACATTTTTACACAAGCTGTAAATATGGCAGGTGAGGATTCCTCAGGAACATTTTGGTTTTCTTCGAATTGTTAGGCCAGTACCCGGATCTTCAGCTTAAGAATGAGAAACCACCCCCATGATCCAGTCGCCTTCCACCCGGCCCCACCTCCCAACACTGCGGATTACAATTCAGCATGGGATTTGGGCAAGGACACAAATCCAAACCAAGTCAGTACACATGCATGCACTCGCACCACACACACACAAACATAGCACACTTAGTACTATTGTTTGTTAACTTTTATTTTGAAAAATGTAAAACCCACAGAAAAGCTGAAAAGTGATATATTGAATGCCGATATGCCCTTCACCTGGATGTAATCTTAACATTTTGTTGCCTTATTTGCTTTGCCCTTCTTTTCCTGTTCCTACACACACACACACACACACACACATTTTTACCTGAACCCCTGAATCATTTGAAATTTTCAGATGTCATGACACTTCACCCTTAAATACTTCCGTACAAATTTTATAAGAATACATTCTCCTACAGAACCACAATTCCATTGTCATACCTAAGAAAACTAACATAATTGAGTAATAATTCAAATATAGTTTATATTCAGATTTTCTCAGTTCTACCGAAAGTGTCTTTTCTAAGTTGTCTTTCCTCCTGATATATTACATTGGTATATTTTTAAAATCTTATTTTTAAAATCAAATTTTTAAAATGGTATCTTTTTAAAATCTAGAACAATCACCCACCTCTCTTTTTTCTTTAAAACCACATCAGTCTGCTATAATTTTTGTTTCAATCATCAAACATAATGTAGAAAACTTAAGAGGAAAAGCAAAGTCTATTACAGTTTGCCTATACTTTTGCTTACTGTGTTCATTCCTCCTTCCTGAAGTACCAAGATTCTTTCTTTTATCACTTCTGTTTAGAGAAATTTCTTTAGCCATTCTTTTAGGATAGGGCTGCTGATGAAAAATTATAGCTTTCCTTTCGAGAATGTGTTGATTTCCCCCTTTGGTTTTTAAAGGTTATTTTTGCTGGATGTAGAATTCTGGTTCAACAGTTCTTATCTTTAGCACTTAAAAGATGTTAAGAGCCCAGTCCACTTGTCCTGTAGAATGTCCCATCCATAATCTGGATTTGTCAGATTGCTTCCTTGTGATTGGGTTGAGTTAAACGTTTTTGGTAGAAATACTACATACTCTTCATGTCAGGAAACAGTTAATAGCAGTTTGTCTCACTTTTGAAAACCAAGCTGATAACTTGGCTAAGGAAGTAACTGCCAGATGTTTCCTTATGAAAAAGGTACGTTATTCCTTTTATCATTTTGTAAGCAGTTTCTAGGTTGATACCCAGAGACCGTGTGAATATCCTGCTGCCCAGTTTTAGCATTCATTGGTCATCCTTGAAATACTAGCTACAGAATTACAAAATTCTGGCTTCACTAATTCTGTCAGTTCAGTCTGCATTTATTAGCTAGCAGTATTCTCTAAAGAAGAGCCTTTCTTTTTTCTTTAATTCAGTCTGTTATAAGCAATTACTGTCAGTATGGCTTTTGATGCTCAAATTGTCTTAAATTTGGCCAATAAGAGCCCCTTCAAGTTATATGTATCCTTTAAAACTGTCCCTATTAATTATTGAAAACATGCTTTATGGTATAACAAGATATTCTGGGATTTTGTACTTTCTCTACCCAAACCCGGAATTAAAACAACCCTGAACTAATTTCTCATCTACTGGATTGCTAAAAATTCAAAAACTGAACACCACACACTGTTTGCAAAGCTGTAAGTGGAAGATCAAAATGATGCAACTTCTTTGCAGGGAAATTTGGCAGTATCTAATTACATATGTATTTGTCCTTTGATGAAGCAAGCCTTTCTTCATCTAAAAAAAAATTGCAGGAATACCAAAACAATACATACACAAAGTAATTCTTTCAGGCATTGTATAAAATAGCTAAATATTGAAAACCATCTAAATAACCGTAGAAGACTGGTTTACTCAATTATGGTAAAACCAAGTAATGGAATACTATACAGCAATAAGGAATGAGTAAAGAAAGTTTCTGTGAACTGATACAGAATGATTTTCAAAATATATAAAGTAAACAAAACATAGTATAAAATCATTGTATAGCACAGTATTTGGGGAGGGGGGGTGCGGGTTGTTTGTTTTGAGACAGAGTCTTGCTGTGTTGCCCAGGCTGGAGTGCAATGGTGCAGTCTCGGCTCACTGCAACCTCCACCTCCCGGGCTCAAGCAATTCTCCTCTCTTAGCCTCCCAAGTAGCTGTGAGTACAGGTGCCTGCCCCCACGCCCAGCTAATTCCTATGTTTTTAGTAGATATGCGGTTTTACCATGTTGCCCAGGCTGGTCTTAAACTACTGACCTGAGGTGATCCACCTGCCTCGGCCTCCCAAAGTGCTGGGATTAAGGGCGTGAGCCACCGTACCTGGCCTTTTGGTTGTTTTTTAAACCTTATACTTTATTGTATTTATTAGCATTGGAAAGTGGAAGAGGTCTTTGCTGCTTAGGATGGAGAATTAATCATCTACTGGGTTTTTTTCTTTTCCCAGGATTGCCAGCAGTGAGTATCCCTGTTGCACTCTCAAACCAAGGGCTGCCAATAGGACTGCAGTTTATTGGACGTGCATTTGATGACCAACAGCTTCTTACAGTAGCTAAATGGTTTGAAAAACAAGTACAGTTTCCTGTTATTCAACTTCAAGAACTCATGGATGATTGTTCAGCAATCCTTGAAAATGAAAAAATAGCCTCTGTCTCTCTAAAACAATAAACATATCTTAAAATTTAAGATGACTTTTAGGCCGGGTGTGGTGGCTCACACCAGTAATCCCAGCACTTTGGGAGGCCAAGCCAGGCAGATCACTTGAGATCAAGAGTTCGAGACCAGCATGGCTAACATGGTGAAACTCCATCTCTACTAAAAATACAAAAATTAGCCGGGCATAGTGGTGGGGGCCTGTAAACCCAGCTACTCAGGAGGGTGAGGCAGGAGAATCACTTGAACCCCAGAGGCAGAGGTTGCAGTGAGCTGAGATTGCACCACTGCATTTCAGCCTGGGTGACAGAACAAGACTCTGTCTCAAAAATAAGTAACTGACTGACTTTGGAGATTCTGTACTCTAGGGAGTCAAATGGTCTTGCTCAATTCTTGTAATCAGGTTTCTTGTTAATACAGTCATTCTATGAATTGCTTTTTTAAATTCCTGTGATAATTAAGAAATAATGTGTCGGCATTTATTAACCATCACTAAGTGCAAAGTGCAGTACTTCTGTGATAACACAAGGTATCTGTTCTTCAAAAACAATGCATTCTACCATAATGTTTACTGAAGAATTTACTGTAAAAATAAGATTAGGGGTAAACTTCTCAAAATTTGTCCATCTGTGTAACTAAAGTCAACAAAAACATGAATAGTCTCCAGAGGTAACCTGGATAGCCTAGGCAGGTAACTTATCATGTGGTGGAGGCTGCCTCAGGGGTTGTTAAAAAACTGCACAGAAACAATTGAGTGGGATTATGGGCTTCTGAGTGCTGAGCAGAGCAGGTGGAAGAGGAGCTCTGAGCACAGGAGGAAATGCAGCCAGTCAAGGCGCAGAATCATGCAAATCTGGGGGTGTACACCTCTCTGGGGAGGAGCCCCAGGTGCAGGCACTCCTTTTATTTCTCTAAGAGCTGAAATGACTGAGAACTTTTCTTTCCTCCTTAGAGTTAAAATTTTACTTCTGGCCGGGCGCGGTGGCTCAAGCCTGTAATCCCAGCACTTTGGGAGGTCGAGGTGGGTGGATCACAAGGTCGAGACCAACCTGGTCAACATGGTGAAACCCCGTCTCTACTAAAAATACAAAAAATTAGCTGGGCATGGTGGCGTGTGCCTGTAATCCCAGCTACTCAGGAGGCTGAGGCAGGAGAATTGCCTGAACCCAGGAGGCGGAGGTTGCGGTGAGCTGAGATAGCACCATTGCACTCCAGCCTGGGTAACAAGAGCGAAACTCCATCTCAAAAAAAAAAAAAAAAAAAAAAAAAAAAAAAAAAAAAAAATTTTACTTCTGCTATTTCAGAGCCCGTGCCTAGACGCCAGAACAACTCCATGTTACACTAAGTTCATGCTCCTGTTTCCGGATCACAACTGAGCTCATTGATGTCATAGAAACATTTGTTGCAACCTAACAGACCATCACAGATTGGAAACTTGGTAGATAGCAGTGCATGGTTTTAGTGAAAAAGGTTCAAAACTACACGAGGAACATACGCTCTGAAAAACATACAGAGAATTTGGTATTGATGCCAAAGAGGGGAAGCGCATGGCAAGACCTTGCCTTACCCCAGATTCTCTGTATCTCACGGTTTCCTTGTCCTCTTGACTATCTTTACAAGTGTTTTTTATTTGGGCCCCTTGAGCCCAGAGAGATATTAATGGAGATCTGTGTTCAATATTTGACAAAATCTAATGGAAACCATCCATTTGCTCATGATAAGTCTTCATCATTGGATTTCTGTGTCTTGTCTGCACTAGAACACCATTGTCATCTCATATTAAGAGGTATTTTAATCCAGCACTTACATATTGTTGATAAATAAAAATAGAAAGCTGAATTGTTAATTCACTTTAGTAAGAAAAAATTATTTTCCAAATATGATGTTCATGAAGAGAAAATAATGAGTCAGAACCATCTGCAGAACCACTGGAATATTTCATCATTACCTGTTAGTTTTCATAAATAGTTTTCTGTCCTCTGAGATCTCCCACTCCCAAATACTCAATCTGACTAACTTAAATAAAAGTTTTATGTGCCAGGCTCAATAATATTCTTACAAATTTTGACTCTGAATCTCTGAAAGAGGAAGAAATCCATAAGAGAGAAAACTGCATTACTTTATAGTAAGAGGAAACCATTTTAAGTTTTTCGATTACTCATACACCATGTCAGGCCAGATGGAGGAACCGTTTTAATTGAAGGAGCGAATATGAGGTCAAAAGCAAGTAAATAAACAATTTTACCCACTGCCCCAATCTTTTTCATGTAATGAATTAAAAAAAAAAAAAATAGAGATGGGCTCTCCTTATGTTGCCCAGGCTGGTCTCAAAACTCTTGGGCTCAAGCTATCTGCCTGCCTCAGCCTCCCAAAGTGCTGAGATTACAGGTGTGAGCCACAACACCTGGCTGAAATTTTTTCAAATAATATTAATTCTCTTGTTCCTGTATCTATACATGAGCTGCACTAATACTTTGGAAATTAAAAAGTGAAACACTTAACCATTCTCATATACCGATATCCAACTAGCATGAAATGATACCAGATTTGTTTTTCTTTCTTCTTCATTTTTACACTTAATCTAGTAGGTCTCATTTTGCCAAGTCACTGTCTGGGAATTTAAGTGACAAATGCTTTCTCTGTCTCGGCTAATTAAACCCTAAAATTATTAGCAACAGAACTTCCAGAACAGTGTTTTTGAAAGGTGAAGATGTCTACATGTGTCAAATGAGTTCCTTGATAAGACCTGGAAGACCAACCAAAAAAAAAAAAAAAAAAAACCAAAAGTTTGAGTGAACGAATGCCAAAGTAAAAAACTGTGATCATAAAATAAGGCGCCATGCCACCACAGAAAACCAGAGCAGCAAGTGGGAAAACCAGTGTTCCATCTTGGTCTGTGCTTAGCATTACCAAGAAAAGCACTTGAAACCCAGGAGGCAGAATGTTCCCTTTGAGTGGCTGACACCAGGTGCTCTGATGACGTCAAACTGGGCTGTTTAAAAAAGATGGCATGGTAGAGAAGAGGAGCTTGCAAAATGACAAAAAATAAACAAAAAAGTGCTTATTCCTATTAGGAAATACCTGGACCTCCTAATGTAAATAAGTAACTTTAGGATTTTAAACAGAATCTGAAGGATAATGAAAAGAGAAATGGTTACAAGGTACCAATAAGGAGACCTCGGGATTCAGCAAGCCGTGTGACATAACTTGTTCGATTCAAAGCAGGGGAGTAAAATAATGGAATTTTTCAAATAGCTTCTATTATAAATTTTCATTTAACTACTTTTAATCGGGGTCTTGCCCAGTCACCCAGGCTGGAGTATAGTGGCACAATCCTGCTTATCTCAACCTCCTGGGTCCAGGCAGTCCTCCCACCTCGGTCTCCCAAGTGTGGTACCACCATGCCCAGCTAATTTTTTAAATTTTTGTAGTGTCAGGGTTCTGCCATGTTGCCCAGACCGGTCTTGAACTTCTGGGTGCCAGCCATCTGCCCACCTTGGCCTCTCAAAGTGCTGGGATTATACGAGTGAGCCACCATGCCCAGACCCCCTCCCTTTCTTCAAACATCTGGTTATCTGTACCAAGCCTAAGAGAAAACATATCTGTTGTTTTTAGAAGCACCCAGAGGAAGTTGCTTTCCTCAGTTATTTCATAACTTAAGCAATGTGTACACTAGAACATAAACCTGAAAATTTAATAAAGGCAAATAACGAAAAAACAAAACCCAGTCAACATTAAGTAAAAGCAATTATTACAGGATTTTGGAGGAGCTTTTTGAGTGATTTTTCTTTATACCTCAATAGACTGTAAACCCAAAAATATTTTAGGCAGTTTATACAAATACATTATTACAATGGTATAAAAGTAAATAACTGAGGAAATCCATGAAGTGATAGTGAAAGTGGGGAAGAAGAATAAAAGCAGGAATTTTTTGATTAAAAACAAAAAATTCTTGTCAAAGTATCTATGCAGATGTTTATTGTTGGATAGTATATGATACGGTGGGAAATTTCCCATTGGCTTTCCCGGTGGGGTAAGGCCACCAGATTTAAAAATCAGACAAACCTGGGATTGAATCTGTTGCTGCCATTTCTGAGCCATGAACTTAAGTTTCAGTATCCTGATCTGTGAAGCAGGGATGATATCCACTCCATGGGGTGGGTGGGAGTTAAATTTAAGTGATGCACTAAAAGCACCTAGCATGGTATCTGACAGAATAAGCACACAATATTTTGTAGCTATAAGTAAATGCATGCAATCATGAATTTAAGTCATTTCCTTATAGAGGCCTCATGGTAAATGCTTATAGAGGCCACAATTTGGCATGTGGCCAAATTGTAATTTGCTGAAAGCTTATACTAAAGACCAGCTATATACTTCCTCGATGATCTGGCTTCCTCTGAGAATAAAGTTTAAAATTTAATCTGGAAGAACTGATAGACTATGTATTTTAACAGTAATTTCCAGAGGCCTGGCAAGGTGGCTTATGCCCGTAATCCCAGTACTTTGGAAGGCTGAAGTGGATGAATCACTGGAGTCCAGGAGTTCAAGACCGGCCTGGGCAACATGGTGAAACCCTGCCTCTACTAAAAATACAGAAAATGAGCTGGGTGTGGTTGTGCACACGTGCAATCAGGATCGCTTGAGCCTGGGAGGTAGAGGTTACAATGAGCCGTGATCGCACCATTGTACCTCAGCCTGGGCAAAAAAGTGAGACCCTGTTTCAAAAAAAATAAGCAATTTCCATGAGTTTTTGATAAAGAATTGGCTATCCCAGTGATCAAAAACCTGAAGATCTTTGTGATGTGTGAACCAAATGAAGGACAGAGCTGAGAGGTGCTTTAAAGAATGAAGGTTCCCCCAAAATGGCCACCCCGTATTCCTATGGGGAAAAGATTTTTGACAGAGCCAAATTCTTCCTCATAGAAAGCATTTCCATTCTAACATACAGGCATAATTGAGGCTCCAAAATAACTATCTTCGCTGCAATTCCTTTAACATGGGAAAATTTTACGGTAAGTGTTACCAACAGC